TCTATCTATCTATCTATCTATCTATCTATCTATCTATCTATCTATCTATCTATCTATCTATCTATCATGTTTAAGAACAGTCCATCTCTTTCACAGAGAGACTCTGGGTGGTGTTGTGTACCATAAAATATTAAAAAGCCTAATAATAGTATATAAAATTTAAAAGAGGCAAGGGAAGTTATCAAGTCACTTTTTTCAGTGCCACTGCAACTTTGAACAGTCACTAAATTAATGGTTGTAAGCCAAGAATTACCTGTATTATTATTTTTTATTATTTTTTTAAAAAACTTGCCCGCTGTTTAGAAAAACCACTGGATGACTTGTGCTCAAAAGAATGCAAGAAGACCGAGGCTTTGAAACTCTGCCGATGCCCGTGCCATGCTCATACATGGTCCAGTCAGGATCCAGAAGGAGGCTGCCAAACCACATCTTCTTTCTTCCCCAGCCATGCAACAGAGACCTCATCAGGCGGTGGAAGTAGCTCCACCAGCAAAGGTATAGTCTTATCTAAGGGACACAGCCCTCCTTTATAACAGAATAATAGAGTTGGAAGGGACCTTGGAGGTCTTCTGCTCCAACCTTTTCTCAGGCAGGAAATCCTATACCAGTGGCCCCCAACCTTTTTTGTGCCACGGCCCGGTACCGGCATCACAAAATGATCCATGGCCCGGTACCGGCATCAGCACGCATGACAAGGCAAGGCGAGCCGAGCGACCGGCCAGCCAGCCGTCCCCCGCTTCTCCCCGCCACCTTCAACTCCTTTGTACCTTTGTCGATGGGCTTCGGGACGGTCTCTCGGCTCGCCTTGCCTTGGGTGCTGAAAGAATCCTCGCGCCTTAGTTTCGTTCGAAGCCGCCCCTCCCCCCCTTCGATGAAACTAAGGCGCGAGGATTCCTTCAGGACCCAAACGCCGCTTTCCAACTGGAAAAGCTCACCCGGAAGCACTTTCTCATCGAAACAAGATGGCGGCGTCCAGCAAACCGGCGGCCCAGTAGAAAATGTTCCATGGACTGGTACCGGTCCGGGGCCCGGTGGATGGGGACCCCTGCCCTATACCATTTCAGACAAGTGGCTGTTCATTATCTTCTTAAAAGCCTCCAGTGATGGAGAGCACCCACAAATTCTGGAGGCAAGCCGTTCTACTGATTAATTGTTACTGCTGTTAGAAAATTTCTCCTTAGTTCTAGGTTGCTTCTTTAATTTCCATCTGTTGCTTTACCCCGTTCTTGCTTCTCTTCCTTAGACTAGACATCCCCAGTTCCTGCAACCGTTCTTCATATGTTTTAGCCTCCAGTCCACTCATCATCTGTGTTGCTCTTCTCTGCACTTCTTCTAGGGTTTCAACATGTTTTCTATTTTTACAGGTAGTCCTCAACTTATGACCCCAATTGAGCCCCAGATTTGTGCTGCTGAGTGAGAAATTTGTTGAGTGAGTTTTGCCCCATGTTACGATTTTTCTTGCCACCGTTGTTAAGTGAATCATTTCAGTTGTGAAGTTAGTCACGCAGTTGTTAAGTGAATCTGGCTTCCCCATTGACTTTGCCGGTCAGAAGGTCGCAAAAGAGGACCACATGACCCTGGGACACTACAACTGTCCTAAATGTGAGTCAGTTGTCAAGCATCTGAATGTAAATCACGTGACCATGGGGATGCTGCAAGGGTCGTAAGTTTGCAAAATGTTTATAAGTCAGTTTCTTCAGTGCCGCTGTAACTTTGAACGGGGTCATTAAGTGAACTGTTGTAAGTCGAGGACTACCTGTATTTCCTTCTTGTCTGCCAGGTTACGTTTTACTTCTTGAATGGGGTGCTTGTACAATTGTTTTCCCTTTCACCGTCTTCCCTTTTGCTGTAATTCTTATTGCAGAAAGCGTCTCGCGCATTACGTTGGCTTCAAAACTGTCTGCCAAACACCAAGCCTCATTCCACGAAGAAGATGACAGTGACAACGATTTTAAAGTGGAAAGGAAGAGGATCCGTCCACTCGAAACGGAGCAGCAGGTGAGCAACATATATACAGGCAGTCCTCACCTTACAACCGCTTGTTTAGTGACCGTTTGAAGTTACAACGGCACTGAAACAAGTGACCTCTGGCCATATATTCACGTGCCTGTTGGTCACGTAATCAAAATTCATGCGCTTCACAACTGATTATGATTTTTGTAGTGTTCTGGATAGTTCTTGACTTACAAATATTTGTTACAAATACTGGTTATAAATCCTAAACAACTCTGGAGCGCATGACAGTGAGGAACATCTCCCATAGTGCCAGCTTTTGTCTCTTCAGGAAAGATCTTTCCATGCCATGGGCCTGAGATGTGCTACTTGGCACAAAAGAGATCTTTTCCCCAATGGCTTTTGTGCTTTTCGCAGTGACCTCATCTCTTGAGGCACGGTGGCTCAGTGGCTTAATGATGCCGGAGATGGTCTCCGCTCCAGCGCTTCGAGTCGTAGTAACTGTGTGGCAGGGTGAGGTCCCGGCACTCACCTCAGCTTCTATCCAGTTAATAGGTCAAAAGCATGTTTTCTGCGAATAGATCAATAGGTACCACTTTGGTGGAGAGACAAGTTGGTGCTCTGTGCAGGCAGGCAAATTCCTGCTGGTTCTGAACCTTCCCAGTTGCGGTACCTGTTTGCGAGGTGGCTCTTTAGAAGGGAAGGGGCCTTGGATGACACTGCAGGAAGAACGGCTTCTTTTCTGTGGTGAAGGAGCTCACCCTCCTTTGGCGCATCCTTGGGAAGCGCACGAGCATTTCCCAGTGCAGAGCCGGAATGGTTCAACTCACCTTGGCCAACTCGCTGCAGGACAATTCAACAATTCAATTTAATCGTTTAAAATAATTAAAAAGACTATTTTAGTTTTTGTCACTCCCACTTCATTTTTTCCCTCCTTTGGCGTCCTGGAATTATTTAGTAGCTCTTGTCCCGCAGCAAGTTGGCTGCGGTGAGTTGTGGTAGACAGGAACAGAGCTGGTACCTTGACAGCCAAACTACCACTCAGCAATTGAAACTGTGGTCTCCTGGCTACTATAACAACACCATGTGCTAATACAACAATGACAACAACTTCATCTCTTCAATTTTTTCCAGTCCTCTGTTGCTGTTTCTTTTTTAAATGGTTTGTTTTTATTACAAAAGTAAACATTTCATGTTGAGGAGGTAAGAGGCTGACTCTGTAAACCTCTTAGAGAGGGGCTGTAAATCACTATGAAGTGGTATATAAGTCTAAATGCTACTGCTGTTGCTATTTGGGGAGGAAAAATAAAACGTTGCTTTTTTAGACTTTTAGCCTCCCAAATTCAAAGGCATGTTTGCGTGGCTTATAGGCGAGAAAACGACACCGGCTGACCTCAGGAACCCAACTAACGGACGCTTCAGAAGTTCACGAACAGCGAAAAAATGGGGAATTGACAGTGACTCTCGGAAAAACTGAGCCTCCCTCACGTAAAACAGTAAGTGTGATAATACTAGGATATTAAAGACAAATTGCACTGGTTTGGAAGAGCTCAGAGTTCAGCTATGTGAAAAGATGCTTCGATTTTCTTGCCTCCTATTATTCTAGTTACAGGTAATCCTTGACTTACGACCATTCGAGTTATGAGGGACACCGAAAATTTACAGTTCCAAAGTTACAATGCCCCCTCGTCCATCACTTGGCCAATGTTTTAGGTGCTGTTTGTTTATATTTCATATTCCTTAACTGCCCACCTCCCTTAGAGATATGTTTTCATTTTTTTTAAATTAAACTTATATGCCACCTATCTCACTAATCCAAAGCGACCTTCGCTTCTGGGTTTTGGCAAAAATGCTCCACAGAGAACAAGGGCTTTGCTTAACGACCGTAGCATTCGTTTAACAACTGCTGCCGGCAGCCTGTGGAGCTGGCAGCAGAGTCGTACAGTGGGGAGGAACATGGCCCAGTGCTGGAGTCTGGGGAGGGCTCGGACGAGGGATCTCCATCTGACACAGAGATTGGGGCCAGGGCCATCGGAGAGTTATGTGCTGACTCCGGAGCCTCCAGAATCTGACATCAGCGAGGCAGAGGAACAGGGGGTAGCCTGTTCCCAGTGCGCGCTTGCGCAGAGCTGCCAGAAGGCAAGAACAGGTAAGACAAAAGGGGAGACTCGGGAGTAAGGCTTGGAGGTGATTGGCCCCTCCCATAAGACATAAAGGAGGAGCAAAGGGACAGGAGCCTTTGCAGGAAGCAACTTTGTTGGTTCCGGTCGGTTTAAACTCTGAAGCTTTGTGTTGACTTGGTGCTCCGTTTGGCCCTGTACAGCTAATTGGCCATTTAGTCGTTGGCAACATTTCAAGGGAGATGGAGGTGGGTGCTTATCAGCCTTATCCCAAAAGACTGTGGCAGACTTCTGTTGGACTCTTCATAAACTGTTTGGGACTCATTACAGGCTGTGAATGCATATAATTCACAGCCATTGAAATAATTAAAAAAAGGTTTTTGGGAACAGCGTGTGATTGTTACTGTCTCAGGAAGCCTTGGTCAGAACAATAATAAAATCAGATGGTTTATGTAGGTGACCCCTTCGCAACCTTCACGATTTACGATGGTAATAGGCAGGTGCCTACAGGTAGTCCTCGACTTACAACAGTTGGTTTAGTGATCATTCGCAGTTACAACAACACTGAAAGAGGTGATTTTTCATATTTACAACCGTTGCAGCATTCTCCAGTTGCTGAAAATTGACTTTGCTTGCCAGAAGGCCGCGAAAGGTGATCACATGGCCCTGGGACACCGCAACCTTCATAAATATGAACTAGTTGCCAAGCATCTGAATTTTGGTCACATGGGGATGGTGCAATGGTCATAAGTGTGAAAAACCATCATAAGTCACTTTTTTCAGTGCCGTTGTAACTTCAAATGGACTGTTCTAAGTCAAGGACTAGTGGTGGGGTTCAATTCTTTTTACTACCGGTTCTGTGGGCGTGGCTTGGTGGGCGTGGAAGGGGAAGGATACTGTAAAATCTCCAGTCAGAGGTGGGATTTGCTGGTTCTCCAAACTATTCAAAATTTCCGCTACGGGTTCTCCAGAACTGGTCAGAACCTGCTGAATACCACTTCTGTTGAGTACTACCTGTATTATAACAATATGCCCCCATTTAAGCAGAAGAAGAAAGCTACAAAATACCTAAGAGAGGACAGTAATTGTAGAGATACATTATTTCCCACGGAATTAATCAACTCTCTTGTTTTTGTGTTTGAAAAAGCATCTTCAAGATTTCTTTTGCCATAGGTAACAGTGGTGCCCCTGAAAGAAATCATGTAGTAATTTATTTAAAAGTATGGTTTGGGGTCTTGAGGATTTATCATTTATTTGTCTGTAGAGATTCTCAGTCCTCAGTGCATGGTTGTCCCAAAGGTGCTTTTTCAAGAGGCAACTGGACTTCCTTGGTTTTTTTTTCTTTTAAAGACATTTCACTCCTTGTCCAAGAAGCTTCTTCAGCTCTGACAGGATAGTGGGGAATGGAAGGATTTATATTCCTTGCAGGCAGCTGGTCGTTTGCATCCTTTTAGAGGCTTGTTGAAGCACTTACGAGTTTATCTGTATCCTCGGAGTCACCTTGAGCATTGCTCCTGGTTCCTGCAGTTTTTTCCTTTGGAAATCCATCCCATCTCCCACACCATCCAAAGGGTGTTCATCCCAAATTGCATAGCTAAAAGTCTAGAGATTCTCAGTCATCCAGGTCATGGTTGTCCCAAAGGTGCTTTTTCAGGAGGCAACTGGACTTTCTTGTTTGTTTTCTTCTGAGGATTTATTGCAATGTTTTTCAAACATTGCTGGCAAATTTAAGACACCTTGGACTTCAACTCCTAACCAAGCTGACTAGGGAATTCTGGGAATTGAAGTCCACATGTCTTAAAGTTGCCAAGTTTTAAAAACACTTATTGGTTACCCCCCCCGCCCCCCAAGGCAATTCAAGCTGGCCAAAAATGCCTGGACAATTTTAGATAGCAGTTTACAAACTATTAAACGAGTAGTAGTTGACAAGCTGTATTAGAGAACCAGTAGAAATCCACTCCAAGCAACCGAGCATCAAAAACATTAACAAACAGCCACAAAGTCATGACAAAAAAACCCCAATTCCAGCCGTGAGAAAAAAAGCAAGAGAATCGAGACTCCAGGGGTTACAAAGGTCAAGGATTGGAACCCCGGAGTAGCTAATTCAGACCCAAATATATTTTTTTAAAAACATTCATTGCCTTTGCTGTTTAATATTCTTGCTTTTTGAGAAGCTTCTAAACTCAACTGTTAATCCTGGGAGATTAACCAAAAAAGGACTGTTTGTGTGCGCAAATAAACCTGTTAATCCCTAGTAAACCTTTTCCAGCAATTGGGTGACCCCCAGACCTACTGAATCTTTTTGAGGCTTTGTTGAGGGTCAGGCTGGGATCAGAAGCTGTCCCCCCATCAATGATTCAGATCTTCTTGTGTCTCCTAAGGACTTGGGAATTCATCCATTGGAAGATCTAAGAGTGGTCACATTTCCCCCTGCCCCCCCCCCCAGCCAGTTACTTGGGACACCCTCCAAGGCGAGCAATGGCTGACTTTGAACCAGTTTGGTCCAATTCTCCATGGACCAAAGAGCTGTAGACCTAGAGCCATTCCATCTTGCCAGGGTTCGGTTTCAGCCCTGTTTCTCATCCATCCCTATAATTGTAGGTCACCCTTCCGAAGCAAGCAGTGGGTTTCAGCATCCCACCCCCTCCTTTTATTATTTATTTGAGGCACTCTGGTTTCAGAATCATAAAAACAGGACTCCTTAATGGTCTCTGAGCTTGGGTGTTTCCTTGCAGACTGATTGAGAACTGATGATGTTGCTAGTTTGGGTAACGAAACGTCTGCAAGAAAACACCCAAGCTCAGAGAGCAACAAGAACTCCACAGCCCTCCTCCTCCTCCTCCCTTTAAAACCCACTCCCTTCTAGATGTTACATAGTTGCACTGAGGACCCTACAATCCTT